TGGACAGAACCTGGGGATATGGGGATAAGAAGTAGGGTGTTGGCAGTCTCTCTAATACAAATTTGGGCAGTTGGGAGGTGAGGGCTGTGTAGGGCATGTCAGATTTGGAGATTCCAGTGGAACTCACATAGGGAGGAAGGCACGGAGCAGATCATTGGTTATGGAAGAACAGCAAGACTAGAGGGACAGGCTTGAAGGGGATGGTTGAAGCCACAGGTGTGAAGGAGATGGTGCAGGGAACAAGGGTTAGAAAACATACATAGCGAAGATACTGTCCTGGGAAACAGTAGCACTGCAGGGAAATGGGCAGGAAGATGGGCCCGTGGGAGCGGCCGGGAAAGAGCTGTGGGAGGGAAGGGAAGCAGAGCTGCCCAGTCAGGGAGGATGGCCTCTGAGGAGGGACTAGGGTCCTTCAGCAACCACAAGTTGGACAGCGAGTGAAGCTGGACCACTTGCAGCCACTGAATCCGGCAAATAGGGTCCCCAGAAGGCACTCTCAGGGCGGGTTTAGGCAGTGTGGGGGCAGAACATGGCATGTTGTGTCGGGGAGGGGTTGGGAAGGGATGACCCAGGGTGGTGTCCTCGGACGCCTTGCCTGAGATGGCTGGAGTGGGGAGTCGGGGGGACGTGGCACAGGGAGATCCGGCTGGACCGGGAGGTGGTCCCGCATGGAAGGAACTTGAACCTAGCTGCGTGTTGAAGGGAGGGCATCTACGAACAGGGAGAGATTACAGATAGGAGAAAATGCAGAAAATAAGGTCATACTTAAAGGAATCCTCTTATTCAATTCCCTCATTTTTACAGATGAGAAATTTTAAATCTAGTAAGGTTAGGAGGCTTGCCATGGGCCACACAGCTAATTCACTGGCAGAGTTGAGTTGAATCTAAAATGTCTCATGACCCTCACTCAGTGCAGGCCTCATAGCACCGTATCTCCCAGAGACCTGCTAGGTTGCGGGCTCTTCTCTATACTGCTCTACCCCAGAGCTTCCTGTGCAGTGGACTTTGCTCGGTCGTGCTGCACCCAGTGTGATCTTCCCCAAAAGATCCCTGGTCGTTGCTCCCTTCTGTGACCCTCTGTTGCATGGGCTGCGGGGCCAGGCTGTCTGGGTGCAAATCTTCGCTTTGCTGCTGACCAGCTCTGTGATCCAGGGATCTGAGCCTCTGTTTCCCCATCTGTAAAAAGGGATGGCCTACCAAGTGGTCATTGGGAGAACTGAATGAATTTTATGCTTGGTACATTCTAAGTGCCCCATAAATGTTAGCTGCTCTTATTTAAACCGCCCCCCGCCCGCCCTGCACTCACAGGCACACCGAAAACACCCTTAATGGCTTCACATTGCCTTTACGATAAAGAGGATTTTGCACAAGCTGGGCTTTCATGCTTCCCCCTCAGGGTGTGTACCAAAGCTGTAGTGCCTTCAAATTAGCTCCCTGAATGTGCAGATACTTGCTAACGTGCTTTCCTAACCGCCCCCCTTCCAATGACCCACCAGCTCAAACATCCCTTCCTAAGAGAAGCCTTTCCTGATTTCTACCCCAGGGTCCTGATTCAGTCATGCGCATCTGTTTATTTCCTTGAGGAAATTATCTTTTGTCATTAAGCTTTTCATTATGGGGTTAATTGATGAGATTTCACCTTCTGTGCTAGATCATAAACCCCATGATACCTAAGAGGCTTTGTTTGTTTTTGCTCATATTTGTGTCCCCAGCTCCGAGCACAATATTTCTCTGTGGGAAGTGTGGCGGTCAGTTAAGTGTTGTTGAGTGAATGAGCGACCCAGTCCATCTAGTTGCTTGACATTCAGGGACCTAATATTTACTTCCTGTTCTTTGAAAGCACGTGGAAATGATGAGTTAATAAATGTATCATTTTTATGGTGTTTGCACATGCCCATTTTAGCCACGGATTTTTAAAATCCTCTCTGAGTCGTCTTTATTCCTCTGACAGCCACATTACTTCCCCCTGGAGAAGGACAATATTTATGATTTTGAAATACCATGTGTGGACGGAAGTTGTTGATCTGTTTCCAAAATGCTGAAATAGGAACCGAATTGTCACCTGTTGGCACTTGCCTCTAGGAGACGTCTTTAATCTCATTGGGTGACCTCCCAAGCCACAGGCTGATGACCAGGGCCTCCAACAGGGATTTTTGGGGTGTGTCTTACTCAGGAATATGGTAGCTTTTCCTAGTGCTTTTGTGGTGTCACCAGCCGATGTCAGCCCTGAGGAGCCATCAGTGAGGGTGGGCTTGAGCCGCTTATCCAAGGTGATCCTTGGCCTTACAGTCATTAGTCAGTGCTTTTAGACTGAACTTCAAACCCAGACCATGGGGTTGAAGAACCACCACCTTTATTTACATGTAGATCGCTGTGGTAAAGAAAAAAAATGAGGTGTTGGGAAATTGGACAGCCACATGCAGAAAAATGAAATTGGACTATTTCCTTACACCACACATGAAATTAGACTCAAAATGGATGAAGGACCTCAATGTGGGAAAGGAGTCCATCAAAATCCTTGAGGGGAACACAGGCAGCAACCTCTTTGACCTCAGCCACAGCAACTTCTTCCTAGGAACATCACCAAAGGCAAGGGAAGCAAGGGCAAACATGAACTATTGGGACTTTATCAAGACCAAAAGCTTTTGCATAGCAAAGGAAATGGTTAACCAAAAGACAACTGACAGAATGGGAGAAGATATTTGCAAATGACATATCAGATAAAGGGCTCGTATCCAAAATCTATAAAGTGCTTAGCAAACTCAACACCCAAAGAACAAATAATCCAATCAAGAAATGGGCAGAGGACATGAACAGACATTTCTGCAAAGAAGACATCCAGATGGCCAACAGACACATGAAAAAGTGCTCCACATCGCTCAGCATCAGGAAAATACCAATCAAAACCACAATGAGCTACTACCTCACACCAGTCAGAATGGCTAAAATTAACAGGTCAGGAAATGACAGATGCTAGCGAGGATGCGGAGAAAGGGGAACCCTCCTACACTGTTGGTGGGAATGCAAGCTGGTGCAACCACTCTGGAAAACAGCATGGAGGTTCCTCAAAAAGTTGAAAATAGAGCTACCCTACGATCCAGCAATTGCACTACTGGGTATTTACCCTAAAGATACAAACGTAGTGATTCGAAGGGGCACATGCATCCGAAGGTTTATAGCAGCAACATCCACAATAACCAAACTATGGAAAGAACCTAGATGTCCATCAGTAGATGAATGGATAAAGAAGATGTGGTATATATACACAATGGAATACTATGCAGCCATCAAAAGAAATGAAATCTTGCCATTTGTGATGACGTGGATGGAACTAGAGGGTATTATGCTTAACAAAATAAGTCAATCAGAGAAAGACAGCTATCATATGATCTCCCTGATATGAGGAAGTGGAGATGCAACGTGAGGGGTTTGGGGGATAGGAAAAGAATAAATGAAACCAGATGGGATCGGGAGGGAGACAAACCATAAGAGACTCTTAATGTCACAAAACAAACCGAGGGGGGTAGGGGGGAGGGGCATAGGGTGAGAGTGGTGTGGTTATGGACATTGGGGAGGGTATGTGCTATGGTGAGTGCTGTGAAGTGTGTAAATCTGGCGATTCACAGACCTGTACCCCTGGGGCTAATAATACATTATATGTTTATTAAAAATTTTTAAAAATTTAAAAATGGAAGTCAGGAGCTTCTGATGACTGGTGTGTTTGTGATCAAAGAAAAGTGCAGAGTGCGAATGGAACTTTCCAGAGCACGTGTTGACTCCGTGTATGTCTGTGTGTGCACATACAGAGTAGTTTAACTGCTTTGTAACCCGTATGACGAGCTGATGGGTGGTATAAACAGATGCATCAGAGAGCGTATCTTAAACCCTGTGCATTTCCAGTTTCTTCATACTGCTGGTGTAAATGACCAGAAGACCATTGTCTATTAAAACAGGCTCTGACCTGGACATTGGAGGCTGGGGTTCAGGCCCTGGCTCAGTCACTAGTCAGCAGCCCGTGGTGAGCTGATACTGGCCACCGTTGCCAGTGCTGGGAGGAATGGAGATAGAAACAGAATTCTGGAGGGTCCCTTCTCCCTGAGTTCCTCTTTCCTCACCTGCCCCTTGAAGAGGTGATCTTTATGCTTTATATTCCAGCTCTAAAGTTCTATGATTCTGAGTCTCCTCTGTATCTCAAAACTTCTACTGTGTGGACAGATTTTTCATGTATATCCCCCCAGCAAAGATAATAGAACTGGGCAATATTTAAGTGTCTGTGATATGCTGGGCACACTACTACATGCTTACGTGGACGGTCTCCTTTAATTCTTTCCCAGGCCTTCCTCCTACTCCATCGAGGGGGAGGCTAGGAGGCCATATGTAGGCTCAGCAAGCATGGGGCTCAGGGCCCAGCGCAGACCTTGGCTGGTACCTGAATGCATGATGGAGACAGGGGAAGACCAGGGAAAGTCCATGGAGGAGGCAGGGCTGGGCCTTGAGAGATGGGCCCCTTGGAATGACCAGAGAGGAGAAATTCTAAATTCTAGAAAACATGCATAACTCTGAAAAGAGACTTTGTACTTGTTAGCAGTCATTCCACTTTCTTCTCCCCCAGCCCCTGGCTCCCACTGAACTCCTTTCTGTTCCCTGGACATTTCATGTAAATGGAATCATGCACAACATGGTCTTCTGTGTCTGGCTTCTTTCACTTGATATATCTCCAGGGTTCATCCCATCCGTGCCGTGGGGCATTGGGTACTTCATTCCTCTAGGTCACTGAGCAGTATTCCACGGTACGGGCCGGCCGTATCTGTCCATTTACCCGCTGATTGATACTTGTGTTATTCCTGCTTTGTGGCTGCTGTGAATAATGTGGTTATGGACTTTGGTGCGCAAGTCTGTGTATGGATGTTTGTTTTTAGCTGTCTTGGGTATGGACCAGAAAGCTATTTGGAACGTCCAAGAGATCTTGAGTTCAGTGTTCTTCCTGTGTTTGTTTCTAGTTTCCACTAGTGGCTGACTTGTTTCATGATGACAAGGACTCCATTCCTGCTGCTTCTACATCTGGGAAGGGCTCGTCTTCAAAGATCAACATTCGCTCCGCCAGACCCCCCCTGAAAGCATCCAACAAGGAGCACAAGAAAACCGTGGGCCACCAGGTCAGCCTCTGGCGGGACACTGTGGGTCAGGATGTGTGTGGCCAGGCCAGCTTCTCTGTAGATGAAGGCCGGCTGCAGGGTCAGAGGGGGCCAGAGCAGCCTCAGCCCCCAGCTCAGCCCATATGTGCTCTTTGAAGGAAGACACTGGAAGCCCTCTCTAGAGAGAACTGACCAGAAAGAGAAAGGGGATGAGTATTGCCCCCGTGCATTTAGTTACCCTAGTAGGATCATAGGCACCTGGTAGAAGACACAAGAGGGTCCTAGAATCTGCAGGTTGAGTTAAAGAAGCCTGGGGACTTAGAAAACTGAGGCCCCTTCTGTGGGTCTTTGTGGGAGTCTATGTCCAGTGTCTCTCCCAAGAGAAGGGAGTACCTGTTGAGCCCTACCAAGCCACTAACCTTTCCATTGTACTGGACTTGCCTCTTCTGGACATTTCACATTACTGTCCTAACTTCCAGGATGCCCAGGCACTGGATAACCGTGCTAAGTCAGACATGTTAGCCTCTGGGCTCCCCCCATTGAGTTTGAATAGCCCTAATGGCAGGACATGGGAGGGCCTTAATTCTGGACCTACAGCAAGGCAGGCAGGAGGGTCAGGTGGAATCTGACCCCGGGTCTCTCTGTTTTGTCCTGTCCTTCTGGATCCATAATGACGATAACCATATCAGCAACCCACCAGTCTGCAGGAGTTTCTTGGTTAATTACACAACTGCAGCATGTTAGAGAAAAATAATCAGGTGCTGACTCTTGTCTCTCCAGTTCCGCACCTCCCTGCATCTGCTCATGGAGACCCTGAATGCCACGACGCCACACTACGTGCGCTGCATCAAGCCGAATGATGAGAAGCTCCCCTTCCAGTAAGTGCTGCCATGGGCGTTGGCCAGCTGCCTCTCGGCCGGGGTCAGGCTGATCAAGCCCGGTCTCTTCATGTTTCCTTACAAGTTCAGGTGGAAGAGACTCAGGACAGCCTTGAGGTGTGTGTGGGGTGGGGGAGGGGAGCCTGCAACAGGACGAATAGTTGATCTCACACCTCACAGATGGTTTACTTGCTGAATACAGGCCAACAGACATTTACCAGGTTCCGCCTGTCTGCTGTCTAGAAGGATTCAAGAGGATGAGAGGATACAGTTCCCTCGTCCTACAGGGTTTACAGTGGTATTAAGGAGTGTGCACACCTGAATCAGAGAACCACATAAAAGTGTGTCATGAAATGCAGGTATACCTGGGTCTCAATTCAGAGGTCGCAGGATAGCTGGAGTGGTCAGAGAAGACGTCTTCCACTGGGGACACTTGACCTCAGATGACGTGTTGAGTAAGGAGACATGAAGATGGTCCTGTTTCTCACATCCCCTCTACCATTGAGCTTCTGGGTTTATTCATACCCACTCACCTTCCCCTACCCCACTCCTCTAGTCTAATTCTGCTTCTACCCCTGTCTTGGATATCATCTTCCAACTCCGTCCATGCCCACGTGGTTGACCCCACCCAAGTCTGTATGGCAGTGACTCTTCAGTATCTTTGTTCATCTCCAGTTTCTGCCAGATTCCAGACCAGAGTTTCTGAATGCCTCCAGCAGTTTCACTGGCTGAGTCACATTCGGCAATATCCGTAATCAGACTCCTTGTCTGTCCCTCCCCACCCCCTCAAAAATGGTTCCTCTGTCTTTGGTCTCTTATGTAGTAAATGGCATAACCCTTGCTGATAGCTCGTTACTGACCATGCCTGAGAGTCGCTCTGAACCAGTGCTATCCAATTGAACTTTCTGTGTTGGATGGGACTGTTCTATAACCTGCATTGTCCAGCACGGTAGCCATAAGTCACGTGTGGCAACCGTGGGCTTTGGGGTGTGGCTGCTATGACTGGGGAACTGAATTTTCATTCTAATTATACTCACGTACTCGTAGTTGGCTGATGGCTACCGTACTGGGTGGCATAAGCCTTGATTCCTCCCTCGTCCTTACTGCCCAGTGTCGAGTCATTGTCAATGTCTCATGGAGTCTGCTTGGAAAGGTGTTATTTTGGTCTCCCTTTTCTCTTCCTCTGTCACCTTGTTTGAGACTCTGTTACTGGCCTGGAATACTGCCCTAAGTCTTTAGAACAGTCTGTTACTTACCTCTATAGCCCCATTATTCCAACCGCCCTGAGCCAGCACACAGGCTCTACCTTCTGGTCAGAGGAGATATATTTCTAAATTTTTAAAGCCCTTTATTCCCAGCATTCTGACTTCCTTTTCTGGTCCTAGCATAACGTCTTTCTGGGAAATAAATTCTTTTGGCAACTCTGTCAGAGTGAATATCTGTTCCTCTTATTTGATAAAGCTTGACCCACACTCAGGTGGGCCTCCTGCTGGAAAAGCTCAGGAAGACAACACCCCGAGTCTGCCTTCTTTGAAGCCTGCTGATTATTGACTCTTTTCCTTTCCTCCCAGTTTCCAAGAAGTGGTTAGGAATTCCCCCTGTGTGACATCTGTTTACCAGCTGACTCCAGAAGAAGACAGGCTATTAGAAGGGCAGCGTGCGTGAAAGACTTGGATGACGTGTGAAGGGCAGGGGCGGTGCGCCGGGGCCCTGGAGAGGAGAGTCGAGGGCTGGGTACCAACTGCAATTCAGGCAGTTCGTCCCTCAGAGCCTGGTGCCTGCCCCCTGCCGGATTCTCTCCCGGAGCTCCCCTCCCAGATGAAAAGAGATGCTGGAGGCTTTCAGAATGCCTGTCTAGTCCTAATGGCCCTCGTTTCCAAGACCTTCCTTTGCCTTCAGGACCAAAATCCCTGTAATAAAGTGGAGAGAATAGTGAACGAGGTGAGAGCACCTGGATTCTAGCTTGGGCTCTACTCCCAGTTGCTGGGCTGTTCCACGAGCTAGCCCTGTACCGCCGGCCTCATTTCTTCATCTGCTAACTGTAGCTAAAGCAGGTCATCCTGGTGAAAGAAACCAAGGAGATGGTGTAGATTATTTGTGAGAGGCATAACAATTTGGATGTGTAAAATATATAACATTATTTAAAATATTTTATTACAAAAATGTATATGTATGTATATAATTATTCCAGAAAGAAAGTTCTGTATGCCTCGCCTTGATCCCCTACAACTGTTTTCGTGACCTTCACATCCTTGACATTGTGGGCCAGGTAGTATGCTACCGTGGGGGCTGTCCTGTCCACTGTAGTGTGCTGGTAGCATCCCCATCACTGTGACAACTGGAAGTGCTCTGTGATTGCCACGTGTTTCTTGGAGGACACAATTGCACCCCCAGTGGAGGACCGCTGTCCTACACTACATGCTTTGATAGCATCCCTTGTAGAAAAGTCTTTTTCCCTCTGCTTCTTCCTTTATTCCAAAAACGTCCATCATACCCACTGTTCACTGGACACTGGGTGAGGACAAGTGGAATGACAGAAATGTCCCTCATCCTTAAGGTGTTGCCGGTCATTAGTCACGGACAGCAGCATAGAAGGGACCGTCCATGGGTGCGTGGGAGTGCTGTAGGAGCAGAGAAGCCTGCTGGGGTGGGGGGTGCTTAAGCGTCCGGGGAGGAGGTGGCCTGGGGGAGTGTGACCTGCCTGGGTTCGCTAGTTGGAAGAACTGGACGGATCCCTGAGCTCAGACGCGGACAACCCTGAGAGTCGTGGGGTCCTCACATGTGACTGCAGCACGCCGCAGAGGGGTGCTGAAGAGGGGTGGGAGCTGGCAGCATGTGCGAAAATCAGGGAAGTGGCGTGGGGCTGCTGAGGGGGCCGGGTTCTCGGCTCCGGGCTCTGCTGAGTCTGCACAGTGACTGGAGGAGAAAGTGCACCCCTGTGTTTCAGCAGTCGGACCCTGTAGATCTTTGGCGACTTTTCAGTCCAGAATTAAGTGTTGCTGGTCCTCACTGTGATCCTCCAAAATTTATTAGTGAGGAGGAGCTGGTTTTCCACTCCGACTCGCCTGGTAACACACATGGGGAGGCTGATGGAGACATGCTGGTGACAACTTTCTTTACCGTTGAAGAGATAAGATTAAAATACTGGAGGCTGGCTGGCTTTACATGTCCCCTGGGGGCTGTGAACAGGGAAGGGGGTGGCAAGAGCTTCTCGGTGGAGTGTCTGCTTGCTTCTTCTAATAGCATTCTTCTTTGCGACCACTTAGTCCTTATGACCAACCGGTGAATTCTGGTTGGGCAGATACTCTCAGCCTCTGTTGAATGAATGAGGAAAGGGAGCTCCAGAGAGAGGATGTGTTGCCCACAGTGGTGTAAGCTGTTAGCGGCGATACCGAGTTTTCTGCTTTGCCCTTGCTCTCTTCCCCCATCCCGTGTGGAAGAGAATGTGGCCAACTCAGGAGGAAAGCACGCGTGTGAGCAGGGGAGTGGGGAGGACCGCAGGTGGGCCCGCAGCCCACGAAGGACGAGGGGTCACAGAGCCTTGCCGAGCACGCTGCCCATCCCCGCGCACACACAGCAGATTGAATCAGACCTGGAGAGCACAGGCGCAGAGAGCCTCAGGGGAGAGGTCGGCAGCCCACGGAAAACCCTCCCCAAAGCTTGAGCACATCCACCGTGCGTTCTGAGCTCGGGGCCCAGCTGGCTGCCTTCAAGACGAGAGCAGCCAAGCCTGTATCCTGAAGGCTGCCTCAGGTCACTCCAGGTCACAAGCATCCTTTATGCCCTGTGTTCTCAGGCTCCTAAGTACCACTGCACATGTGTTAACAGTTTTTCTGGGACCCCAGAGCAGTGCTGCGTCCCGGTGACACCTCAGAACCGGTGCAGAGGGGACCACGGAGGCTCCCCACGCATGCTCCTTTTGTTTTCTTCCATCCTGTAAGACCTTCTGCTGAGGAGCTTTCTGCCTATCTGAAAACATGAAATGAACCCCCTTAAAGTAACTAGTTTGCTCAGGACTGTGCAGACTTGAGTGCTCAGTTGTCCCTTACTCGAGAGCCGTGGATGCCTTGGGACCAGAATAATCAGGAGGACTTCCTGGAGGAGTTGGGTATCCAAAGTAGCAGGACTTGGGCAGGTTTGGGGGCAGCAGGAGAAGGCCAAGGGGTCATAGGCCTGGAGGAGGGTGTGGGTGTCTCCCGGGACACTGAGCCCCAGGACTGACCTGGAACGCAGAAGAGTCCCGACTCAAGGTCAGCTTGTGGTCTCCAGTCACCTAGAAGGTGCCTGCTGGCCCAGTGCATCTGCCTCGAGGGACTGCTGGGTCGTTGGCGCAGGAGGGCAGCTGGCACTAGGAGCCGATCAGCTCCTGCAGAGAGGTGGGAGGGCAGGATAAGTCTCCCGTGGAGAGCTGTGATCCAAGCACGGCAGGTTCCAACCCTGACCCATTCTGCGGAATCCTGAGGGGCCCCGCTGCTGGGAAGACTCCTAGGGTTGTTAGGGAGGCGGCAGGCATGGGTGCCCCCTGGTGTCCTGGAGATAAAGCTGCCCATCTCTCTCCACGGGGTCCACAGGCTGCCTGAGGTGTGTGCTCCAACCAGCGAACGGGATCCCAGAATTCCCGGGATCTGAGCCTCAGCCCCGCTTGCCGCCCACTTCCCAGAGCAGAAGGAGCACAAGATGCATGGCCCTGGGCTGGAACGGAGCTCAGGAGCCGCCAGAAAGAAAGGGAACACTTACTTCCCACCCTTTCTCTGAGTGGGGCAGTGGTCCTAGCAAAGTACGGAGATTAACTCTAGTTCAGCTGAATTCTTTCCCCAGGAAGCCCCCACCCGTGATTGCCGTAGCCACCCTGGCTGCTCTCCCCCTGGCTTCTCACTGCCCTGGTACCGTGGTTCTCACCTATGGCTTTGTGCGCTTCTGTACACTTCTCTCCTGGGGCGGGGACTCAGCCCAGACCTATCTGACTGCTGACTGTACGGTGCGCTACCTGATGTACATGTTGGTGGACATGCTGGGTTTTCAGGGCTAAGCAGTTGAGGGGACATGAGGTGCTGAAGATGTGGCTTGTGTCCCTGAAGACCAGATGATTGGTCTCGGAGACTTAACGGGCAGCTGTTGTGACAGCAGCTGACCCTGCACGTGTGCTGATGTCCTCGCTGCTGGGCTAGCTGCTCTCCCAGGCCATTAGGTTTCGTCTTGGCACTAACCCTAAAAAAGGGGTCCTACGATTACCCCTATTTTATAGATGAGGGTACTAAGGCCTGAGGAGGTGGCGTTGCCTTCCCCAGGTGACCCACGCAGCCAGTGAGTGACCATGTCCTGGTTCAAACCCAGCTCTGTGGGCCTGAAAAGCGCCCCTCTGACTCCTGAGCCACGTGCTGCTGGTGGCAAGTGTGTATGATTTGGCCTTTGAGCACAGATACCCCCATGGGTGCAGATAATAAGGGAAGACCCTGGGGAGGAGGCACAGATGGGCTTGGAAGCTAGACAATTCAGTCATGCCACAAAGACGATGACGTATCCCAGGTGAGAACATGAATGCGCACAGGACCGGGGCGCTCATACGGCTCACGTGCCTGCCAGTCACTGCCTTTGAGTCAGTGCTTGGCCCCCGACCTTGTGCTCAAGGTGCATGATGGCCTGTGTCTCAGTGCAGGAAGAAGTCGTCTGTCCTTCTCCAGTTCCATTTCTGTGCCAGCACGTCCACTCACAGCTTGTCTTACTGTGTTTGCAGCTTTGACCCAAAGAGAGCGGTGCAGCAGCTCCGGGCGTGTGGGGTGCTGGAGACCATCCGAATCAGCGCAGCCGGCTACCCATCCAGGTAATGCGCCTGCCAGCCATGCTTTCCTGGGGCAACCGGAGCCTGGCTCCCCAGGGAACCTGTTTACACGCTGTCAGCCAGAGACCCATCCTGCGTGAGGGCCCATGCAGGATGCTGACAGAGGGGAGAACGTCCTTTTGGCCTGAGAAGCCTGGGAGTCCATGGTGGCATCCTCTGGGGAAACTTTTCCCATTTCAGATTGGCACTGGTCTGGGCGAGGAGCCAGCTAGAGCTGCAAAGGGGATTTCTCCTTTATTCCCACCTTGTGCCATTTACTTTTTTTTTTTTCTTTTTTAAATACACCTATTCCCTGTCAGAACCATTTTGAAATGTACAGTTTGGTGGTAAGTATGTTTGTATTTGTGCACCCATCTCCAGAACTCTTTTCATCTTGCAAGACTGAAACTCTGTGCCCATTAAACACTAAATCCCTGTTTCCTTCCCCCTCCAACGGCTGGCAGCCATCATTCTACTTGGTCTCTGTTTTTGACGACGGTGCAGCCTTCGTCTGTGTGGAATCCTACAGTGATGGGGACCAGCTTCCTTCATTTAGTCTGGTGTCTTTAAGTCTCCCCCATGTAGCATGGCTCAGAATTTCCTTCCTTTCTGAGGTTGAATACTATTCTATTGTACACGTAGACAGCTTTTTATCTGTCCGTTTGTTAATGGACCCCTAGACCTTTTAAAATAGAATCAAATCCATGATGGAACATATAGTCTTGAATTTAAAAACCACTATCAAGATCTAACTTGCACTGCGGTTCTCGAGCCACCTAGAGCCTGTTGAAGCCATGTCAGTCCTGGATCCTTTCTAGAGGCTTGCCTGCAGGAGGAGGGAGGTATGGGTGACGACCCGCGAGCTCTCGTGAGGTCATACCGCGTACCAGCATCTCACAGACTAGGCATCTTCCGCCGTGAGCTGGAGCTAAGCCAAGCAGAGCCAGAGTAGCAGCCCCTGTCCTTGGAAGTCCTGTGTGTGTCAGGAGGTGGAGGGAGCTGGAAACGGGGAGGCGGACGAGGGGCCAGGCCTCCCTCCAGCCTCCCTGCCATCTCCAGCGGGAGCTTGGCCACTGCAGTGGAGGAGTGCCTTCCTAGCAGCAGGTAGTGACCACGAAACAACGTAACTGTCAACAGCTCCCAAATGCTCGACCTGGGAAGGGACTTAGTGATGGAATTAGGAGTTTGCATTTGACCCGGAGAGTACAAGAACTACCACTGATCTGGAACCTCCAGGCAGCTTTTCAAAACCCAGCAGGTTGGAGCATCGTTCCCAACAGTGCGCTCTGGCCCCAGAGAAAGACTCTTCAGTTTGCTTTGAACCATGTCTCTCCCTGCTTAGAAGAAAGACAGGGAGTGTCCTGGGCTCCATCTCCTTTTCCGACCCTCGGGCTGAACACAGATAGCTGACGGCTCCATGAAGGAGGTGAGCCCTGCTTGCCCTTCCCGGGTGAGGGCTCTGCCTGCCTTCTCTTTGTCTGCCCTGCGGGGCCCAGCACCAGTGTTTTGACTGAGGGGACGGGCTCAGGCCATGGGCGCAGCAGGTCTGTCTTGAGTTCGAGGCACTGTAGTCTAGCCAATCGGATCAACCCTCCGTGGCTGCTCCAGACACAGCGCTCAGATCAGATGTGGTTCATACAACTTACAAGTGTGGCAAGGGCCTTAGGGAGCTGCCTGGCCACTGCTTTATAAAGCGTGCTCCCCAGGCAGCCAGGCTCTACTCCTGCTCTGGCTCCCTTATCTGTTGGCCTCCCCCTAAAAGGGTCTTTAGTCTACCATCTTCAGTCCGCTGGTCCTCAGGACCGCTTTGCAGCCGTCAGTGGGTCAGGAAATCACCGTAGTGGGTCATGACCGGCATCTTGTTTATTTAGTGAAATGACCCAGGATGGAAAATAGAAGATGGCAATTTGCAGTAGAAAGGGTATTGGAGTGTGACCTCCCTTCAGCTTTATATATAGACATGGGTGCGTCATGGTGTGAAACATGCTTTTGCTGATGAGGCCCACAGGAGGAAGTGAACTGCTCAAGATCACTGTGGTGGTGTGAGGACTTAGAACCCCCCTTCCTCTGCCCAGCTGTGTGCTTGTTGTCAAGCACCCGACTGCTCACGTTGGTGAGAGGCGCCATCCACACGGGGATCAGGGGGGGTGAAGAGCAAGGGTAGGCTTTTCTGCCTGCTCCCAGAACTGGGCCCAGACCTGAAGCTTGGAGTAAGACTGCACCCTGCCGGCTCTGGCCGGTACATGGAGGCACAGACTGCCCAACGGTGCGAGGCCTGGGCCAGAGCCGGAGGAGCCTGTGGTTGAACCCTTGGCCTTTGGAGTCTGGTGTGGCTTGTGCGGAGAGCTCCAACCTCCTTGGCTGGGCGACCTCAAACAAGTCCATCTCCAAGCCTGGGTTCCCTTATCACTGAGTATTTCCATCACAGGTGGTCATAGTGAAGTAAGGCTTCTAAAGTCCCCCACTCTGTGCTAGGCACTTAAACATTCAATAATGTGTTTATCACTCACTTAGATACAAGCAAGAAACTGCATCCTTATGGATACAATTACGGGGTAAAACCGGCCTTTACCAGAAATGTTTAGCTTTATTTTTGTGAAAACCTGTTGTGTCTGGTCACCTCAAAAGTGCTTTCCAGAGTTCTCCAAGGAATTGAAAAAGGTTGGTCTAAGAATTACTAAGATGCCCCACGTTCAGCTGTTGAGGGTCCTTGCGCAAGAACCTCTGGGATCATGGGTCCTCAGCCACACCTGTGCCACGCAGCACAGAGACTCCGGGTGAGCAAAGGAGCCCAGGTGCTCCTCTCTGTCTCACACTCTAACTGAAGCTGCTGGGGGGCTTGGCAGGCAGGAGGCATGAACATTGGGACCATGCCACGCCAGGGGTGAGGAAAGGAGAGAAGCATGGGAAAATGAGCTATTCTAGGGCAGCTGAGACCTTGGGGCTCCATCCCGGGATGTAAGGAGCCACCTGTTTACCGAGAACTTTTAACACAATGAGTTGTTTGATAGACAAGTGCTTTGCAGAGGGTGTGAACCTCTTGTCTTGGAGACCATCAAGCAAAAGCCAGGAGCCTGGGTCTGATGCGATGAGCTCTAGACTCTGCTTCTGGGAAAGGTCCCTGGGCCTGTCACCTCGGACTCACCCACCCAACTTGCTTGCAGCCTCGCTGTGAAATCGGTGACCGCACGTCCCACCCACGTTCCTGCCAGTTTGCTGCTACAGTACAGAATCCTCTGTCGGAGGAAGTGGAAGAGGAAGAGGGACAGGATTTCACTCCCATGGTGTTCCCTGAGCTGCTATAGAATGAGAAAGTATTCTTGCCTCTATGTCTCCTCTCCTGTTAACCCGGCCACCTGCTCCACTCCTCCCCCGTGGAGCTTCTGGCTCTGTGCCGATGGCTGGGAGGGAATCAAGGATCTAAGTCATGACCTCAGCCTATCAGGAGTTCACAGTCCAGGAGAAGGGATAAAAACCTACAACAGAGCAGCATAGAATTAGGCCAAGTCTGGAAGGAAATGTGGGTTTCCTGGAGGAGGTGAGGTTTGAGATGGGCCTCGAAGCGGGGGAAGAGGATTCGGGTATACGGGGAGGCAGTGGGAGGATTCCACCAACCCGGAAGCAGCTCCACGTGCAGGCACAGAAGGGACGATAACTTCTCCTGCCCAGCGATCTGGGAAGAGACCTTCTCTGCCAGTCAGTCCTCATTCGTCCTTCCTGTTCTGTCTCCCAGTCTTAGCGGGCCGGACTGGCTTGTGTCCTTATGCAGACCTCCTCTGCCTTGGCTGCCCAGAGAGCACACTGCCTCCAGGTCCTTAGACCTACGTGGGAAACGGCCTTTCCTGCCGTGCGTTCCACCTGACTCCGTCACCACCGGCAATGCCGACGCACCCGCAGACTCACATCCTGTGGGGCAGCCGATGGGTGTCCTTCTGCCGCCCTGATCGATTCACCCCTCTTTCTAGCACCTAATCACTAGGGCATCTGTACCTTTTGTTTTCATAATTGCAAGTATTGTGGCGAGTGTAGGGAGGGAAGGAAAAAAAACCTGGTATTTTCTGCTCCACAGAAAATGTTACCTAATGCTGTGATTTACATGTTTGGGCTTGGGTCCAGAGTGCTGCCTTACCTCTGCTGTCTTAGCAGATTTTGCCGAGACCTCAGAGGGAGGATTCCCTCCCCAAATGGCCATTTGAAGTGTTCGCTTTCGGAAAGAGGCGCCACAGTTTTACGGCACTTTTGTTGGTGTTGCGGTAGAGCTGAATCCTCCATATTGTTTCATTTTGATGCGAATACCCTCTCCCAGAGCCACGGCACCCAGGGTGGCCTTTCTTTGAAAGCTGAGCAGTGGGGAGAGGGCTGGGAGCAGAACTACCTCGCCCATGATCTTGTGACTCCACACATTGCCCGTCCGCACCTGCCAGTCACGGTAGGCATTTGGAGGGAGCTCACCGCTTGAACCTCTCCCTTACTGCTTGGTCCCGGAGGCTGGGGTGTCTGCTGTATCTGGGGATAAACCAGACAAGGTGGTACAGCTACTGTGTACCCATCAAGGTGTTAGCTTTTGAAGCTAACAAAAGTGTAACCTCAGAATGTAGACCCGAGCACCCATTTTGTTAGCCTGACTTTGGGAGACCTTTGGGAGCCCCAAGGGGCTTGAGCAGGCTAAGGGCTCATCTCAGAAAGAATTCGCCTCCATGGTGCTAGGACTCGAGATAGCAACGTGATTTCACTTGATTTAGCTTGTTAAGTAACATGATTTTGCAGAGCTATTGCCCAACGAAACTCGAGTGGCTTCTTTGAGGAAGAGGGACTACAACTCAGAACATTTTTCTACATTTCTCCAACTTAAGTGGCCAAAGGGCACATGCCAACTCTTTCCAGGGAAGAAGATGGCAAAGAGGAAGAATGCATGGCTCGGGATCCCAGGGACTCACGATGAAATGTCTGGAGGCCGCTTCCCCGGGAGCCCATGCAGAGGCCAGCCCTTTGCAGCCAAGATT